TAGGAGGTTTCTTAGGTTGTAGAATGTGTGAAGGAATGCTGCTTGGTATTTGTGAACAGGACAGGGTTATGGGCGCGGATTGTAGCGTAGGATGTTTTTAAACTTTAGAATGGGGGTTGGAATGATGTTTGGTTGGATGATTTTGGTCTGTTTTTTCGAGATTTTTTAGAGATTTTAGGCTGTGTTGTTGATAGTAGCTGAGCCTCGAACCGGCAACCGTGGATAATAGTCCAGTTTTTGGAAAAATTTGTTTGCTGTTCAAGAGTTCCATATCGGTGATTTTTGGTACCATCGGGAGCGAGAGGCCGCTTTGGGCCTCATACCAACGAGGAGAGTTTTTTGTACTACACGTTTTGCCCGTTTGGAATTCGAACCAGTTAACCGCGGATTGTCGGGAATATGAGGCTTCGGACCAAAGGAAGTAGTTGGAATGTTCTGGACCTTGAGATTTTAGAGCTACGTGGACGATGCAGACATCTATTTTAGCAATGATTGCGTGAGCCTGTGTCTTTTCCGGGTCCTACGCTGTCGGACCGCTGAACGTTTCCGGAGATGCTCAGCGGACAACAGCGGCGGTGGGTTAGTGGAACGTCGGGAATGTCGAGGGCGACGTGAGGTGGAATCCCCCTGAGGATGACCGCGTGGTGGCGGTCGAAACCGGTCGGGGTAGCCATTACCCGTCGGTGCATAACAATCACGGAAGTACTAGGAGTACAGAGTACCTTTGTCATATTGTGAAATAACTTTGAGATTTTCGCTTGATTGATGATGTACCATTGTCTTTGGATGATGTATCATTGTCATGTTGTGAAACAACCTTTGTGATTTCGCTGGACTGATGATGTTTACTCCCTAATCAATGACATCTGTTAAGGCGCATGCGAACCCACTTGGAGAAGGTTGCCGAGTGTGAGTGAACATGTTGAGCATTGAGACTGAGACTGAATTTAGCGAGAAGCAACACGAGGCGAAGATTAGGCGAGCATTAGGAGCGAAGATTTTGCATAGTAGTCGGAACGGGGACAAGAAGGCTGGCTACGTTAGAAGCAGCGAGTGAAACATTGAAGTGCACAAGCACGGGAGGAGCCGTGACGGTGACAAACTTGTTGCGTTGACAACGCAAAATGGCGGGCTACAAAGATCACGGTTGGGAGAGAGAGAGAGACCGATACCATGACAGCAGAGACCGGGATAGGGACCGCTTTTACAATAGCGGTCGAGAAAGTGGAAGGAACGGCGGTAGAGATTTCGGAAGAGAGGGCAGCAGAGAGAGCGGAAGGGAAGGTGGCAGAGAGGATGTAAGAGGAAAATATGGAGAGTCAGGGGGAGGGAACTACGATCGAGGTTACCCTCCACGAGATCACCCCAGGAGGAATGCTCCCATCTGCTTCAATTGTAACGAACCAGGGCATTACAAGAACCAATGCCCAAGATTGGTGGGGGAAGGGGGTGCACACGTATACATGGGACCAAGAGGTCGCTCACTATCATCGGGGCGGGGCGTAAGAGGCTACGTGAGACGATCGGCTTCGGAAGATCCTGATGTGCGCAAACAACTTGAAGATCTGGAAAGCTCACTTAATGTTGTGCGCGAATTCGTTGATAAACAGAAGGAAGCACGGGAAGAGAGGGAGAAACGGAAGACCGAAAAGGAGGAGAGGATGAGACGGGAGGCAGAGGAAAAGGAGGAAGTCGAAAGACGTGCGAAGAAAAAGGAGGCGAGACAGCGACGAGATGAGGAGAAATGAGCGCTCATGCGCAAAGACATGGCAATGGAGTTGTCCATAAGGTTGGGAGGAATCGAAAACCGCATAGACCGTGTCGACAAGAAGGTTAAGAAAGTGGTGAAGGAGACCGTGGGAAAGGGGAAAGCCAAGATGAAGACACCAGACTACACCAGCACATCGGGAGAGGAATCTGAAGCATCAGGAGGCTGGGGAGGCAGCGACGTCGAGGAGATTAGCCATAAGACAGGGGAGTTGACAATTACAGAGCGACATGAGTGCTCTTGAGACAAGTCGTGGGTATCCCAATGGGAAAAGGGACCAGCCCACCTCTGGCGTGCATAATGTGTGCATATGCAGAGTACAATTTCCTGAAGAGTATGGGAAATCTTCAACGGGACATTTGCGGTCTAAGACTGATGGACGATGTGAGCTTGATCGTCCTGTCAAGAAGAGGCAGGACCGAAAATGTTGAAAGGATCAAGAAAACCTTCGAGAAAT